AATTTTTTATTTATGAGAGGAGTAAAAACTTCCCTTTACCTTCAGCATTAATTCTGAGCAAATGTCTCCAATGTTCCCTTTTTTCATGCTGCCATGGATCAGTGGAAAGAAAAATGGTATTAAGATAACCAGCCAAAAATGAATTCAGCAGCTCTGCTGACAGTTTAATTCCTGCAAGTTAGAAAACTTTCTCTTTTGTTACTTCTCACACTGACAGAGCTTCTGTGACAAGTTTCACCACTCTGCATTGTTGTCTCTCCCTTGCCTTTCTTTTCTGAGGTTTGACAAAGATTGCAAGGAAAGTTAAAAAAAAATTTAAAAAATTAGAGATGGTGAGTTTATAATACCACAAAATTTGACAAAGTAGGAGGCTGGTATATAAAACACAAGTACACCAATATTACTTTTTAAACTTGCAAGAAACTGTATAAAAATCCTTTTATAAAGATACTTTTCAGTTTAATGAAAGAAACTTATTGTTTCTACTAAAGCAAATAAATACAGGTTTTACATACCCTAGTTTAAGAGTAAATAATGTATTCGCTTTTGTAACTGGATTCCTTACAATATATAATACAAAAATAAGATAAATTGCTGTAAATGTGCAATTTCTCTGACCTTGCTCAGATTTGCAGCACTCTCTTGGGTGCCAGTCACTGTTGTAATGGAGCTTATGGAGATACTCTCACCAGGAATAATTATACCTTTATTAACACAGTCTAGATTCTTCCATTAAAAAAACCCCCCCAAAAAAAAAAAAAAAAAAAAACCCCAAAAAACCCCCAAAAAACAAAAAAAAAAAAAAAAAAAAAAAAACAAAACACCAAAAACCAGAAAAGAACAAGAAAAAAAATAAACTAAAAAACCCATGCTTTCTTCATGAAAATACTGACTGGTACCCAATTACCATAAAAGTAATCAGGAAGTAGGAAATTATACTACTTTTTATACTAAATATACCTTGAAAATATCAATATGTGCACTGAAGAGTAAATTTAAGTTTTATACAGTTTTGATGACTGTTACTTAATGACAGACAGAAAGAAAAACAATGAAGTGTTTTTCACCCCCAGTATCTGCCAAGGTAAATGGTTATGACATAGCAAATTTCCTGAGCTTTCTCATGGTTACCAGTGAGGCCATTCCAGTGTTTCTGATACACTTTTGTCAATATTAATCTTATTCCCCCAGGTGGGCAAAACTCTCTAGCTTAACCCCTCCTAACGTTTTAGCATATTAATACAAATACACTTTCAGATAGATTTAATCTGAAAACCTCTCCTTTGCTTTAATTATGCAGCTCCACTATTATTAATGGCATCTAAAAACTACATCTACAACTGCTGCCAACACGTGTAAAATAGCTGTTGTTTATTGTTGCACCGACAATGTCTAAAATCCAGTAAAACAAGGAGAGCGCACAAACGTTCCCTTTACTAGTAAGTTTTGCAATACAGAGAATGGATATATTCAGCCCTCTTGGTTATTGTGCAATTGCAAGTGAACTTCTCCTCCCCTCCAGGGCATCTCTAAAAATTCTGATTTTTTGAGGAGAAGCTCAGTGTAAGACTGCAATTGTGCTGGGCTCCACTGCTGAAAGGTTTTTTTTCTCACCTCAAAAAAACCTCAAATCATCTTTTCCTGTGAGACAAAAAACTTATAATATGCCAAACTCTGCCATCTTAATAATACTAATCTAAAATATGAATGAAGCTGTTCAAATGTTTGTAAGACATTGTATTTGATGAAAATAGCTACTATTACCTTATAATATCCAAAGTACCAGAACAAGGAAAAAATTAAGGTACACTTTCAAAATATTAGTAGAAAGTACAGCTCATTATTGTGAAACTAAAACTAAGTATTGTGTATTTTTATACAGAAATAAGTGTTTTGAGAAAACACAGGAGAAAAGCATATGTCTTTGAAGTGAAAGAACTTCTTAAATTGCATTAAAAGTTTTATGTGTCAAATGATTTACACTAAATTTCAACACTTACCGAGCATACAGCAATTAAATCTACTGAGTTGGATAGGGTTTTTTCATGCCTTCCAAAAGGAAATATTGCCTGGATGAATGGAGTGAGTGGGCTGAAAACTGCTTGAATCCCAGGCTGGAAGGGCACGCAGTGATCAATGGTGCCCTGCTGGCAGCCAGCAATGAGGACAGCCCTGCAGGGATCACTTCTGTGGCCATGTCAATCAACATCTCACCAGTGACCTGGACAAGGACACAAGACTGCAAGATAACTAGCTCACAGATGACATCAAATTAGGAGGATGAGATGGCATGCCAGATGGCAAAGCTTCAACTAGAAGGACACTGCTCAACTTGAGGACTGGGCCAAGAAACACTTCACAAAATTCAACAGAAGTGAAAGGTCTGCTCCTGGAGCAGAAAAATCCCACCTGCTGGGAAGAGATGTCTGAGCAGCAGCCCTGCCAAAAACCAGACAGCATTTACAAGAAGTGCCAGGCTGCAGAACAGCCAGTGGTGCACTCTCTTTGCAGCGTGGGATACTCAATTCTGCACTACACGGGCAGGGCATGGGGAAAACTCACCATGCCCTCTCACTCAATGCTGGGAAGCGTCACAGGTTGATTAAAAATTATAATTTGGATAGAAGCCCTCACACCTATCCACAACAGAAACAGCACAAAATATTCCATGATGTCTGCCAATGTTACAGGAAAAATGCAATAACAGATTTTGCAAAGAATGCAGAGAACTCTGCATTATGAGAAACTGCTTCATGGTACATCTGCTCCAACTTTTAAATTTCTAATATAGACTGTAAATATCTTGTGTTGCATCATTTTGTGTCTTTTCTACTTACTAAGTAACTAATTTAACATCCTTCTCGCTTAGAAATAGCATATCACAGATGTTTTAGATTTTAGAAGTGTTAGTGTTATTTTTCTTTCAATGAGTGTCAAATGAACAATTGTGAGAAACAATTCAGCCGTAGCATTTTTAATGTCCACCAAGTTTCAGTTTGCATTGCAAATAATGGCATTCACAGAGCACTGCCAGAATGTTGTAAATCTAAAGACCTTCTTTCTGTATTTAAATTAAAGATGTGAGGACATTCAGTTCTGTCCCTCAAATGTGCTTCAGTCGTACACAAATAATACTTCCTCATATCACGGTGAACTGCGCACAAGGACTGGAGCAAAAGATGGGCAAACATTTAATAGAGTTTGCTTTAAAGAAAATTACCTACAATAATTAATTGCTATTTTACACACAATATGCCAATTTGATTCCTAGTGTAATATTGTTAAAGCAAGCAGGATGACCTTAACCAAATATTATTTAAAAACCAACTTTGATATATTTTCATTTTCTTATAATAACAATTGCAGAACTAAAATAAAAATTAATCAGACTAGGTTCAACTAGGAAAGAGAAAGATAACATTCTTTGAATAACTTAAAATTTTCTTTGGAAGAAATCCCAACTATCTACACAGGGATTTTTATACCAAATTTTTATTAAAAATTCATGCGCATTCTCAATTCATAAAAAGTCTACTTAGTATTTTCTGTAGGTTTTCATAGTTCTTTCTGGTAACAGAAGTGTGTGAAGAAATGGGAACTGATTAGCAGCTAGTTACTTTGCTATATGACCAATAGGGAGGTCTAAATTAATATTAAATGACCAAAGTAATCTCAGTTGAATGGGGACCTGACTTGGAAAAAGGAAGAAGCAGGCTGAGAGCTGGGGAGGTGTGGTAATGCACAATGACAACTGTTCAAGCAGCTCTGCTGGCAGATCACATACCTATTTAGTAATTTTATTTTTGGTCTCAGGACTGGAATCAATCTTAAATAGCAAAATCATATGCCATGTATAGGCAGAAAGGAATACAGAGTCTGTGCATGAAATCTAACCTATCACCAGTGGTGGGATGTGTAACACATGCACAAATGGAAGACTAGATCATACCATATGGAATGTAGCTCTTATCTAATAAATTACTGGTTTTTTATTTTATTAAGATCTGCCCTCCTACAGTTTAATGTTTCAGATATCTTCAAAAAGAAAGTGCCAAGTCTTCTCTCACTTATATTATATTGAGGCTTAGCAACACATAAGAGACTTTGTTTTTAACCAAAAAATATAGAACCACTTTATGAAAAAATGTAAAGCATATTTTACACAAAAGCTGTTTTGGCAACACAAGTAGAAGTTGTTAGCTATAACATGGGAGCCTGTGCCATACTCTCAAACATAATTTTAGACAAGAAAACTGGATAGGGAAAAAACAGAGCCAGGAAAATAAACAGTGTGTGTGGCAGAAAACATTGCATTTACAGTACTATCCAGCTTTTGGAGAGAAGCCAGAGACCTTCACATAAAATCTTTCTGTGCTTTTAACACTGTTGCAAAGCTTCAGGGATCTCTAATTGTATAAACAGTTAGGGGAAAATGAGATTCACTGAGAGATCTATGTCCAGCAAGTACTAAATGTGATGACTGCATCTCAGCATCAGTCATTTAGAATATGAACTTTCTGACTAGCAACTCATATGCATTTACCAAAATTGAAACTCAACCAGCTAGCAGTTTCTTTTCAGTCTGATTACACAGTCAGCATCCCAAAGCTAAAGCATGTACAGTAGGTCTCATACCTCTGAAATACAGTTAGATGTTTGGTTATCTTTTGACTTCAAATAATGCAGGTCTTCCAGTATTTATATTGTGATAAAATTCTAGAGCTTTAAAAATCTGCCCTTCACACAAGCTTAAGCATAGATATTTTAAAATTACTTAATGTACATCTTCATATTTTGTTAAGGCATGAACAATGGCATATGAATGGGAACAGCTTCCAGAAAAGCATCTTTTTGACAAAGGCCAGTCCAAGCACATCACACCAAAGGACTAACCTGAAGCCAGAAATGACAGTGTTGTGACCCAAGAGTTTTTAACAAAAATAGTTGAAACAAAATGGATTTTTTTTTCTCTTTTTCTTTTTTTTTTTTTTTAATTTAAATTGTATTACTCTTAATGTCCGTTTAAAGCACCGGTTGCAGTTTTGCGCTTACCACCTCTTCCGAGTGACTTTGGATATCTCATCTGCTTCTTTATTTCTGAATTTTCAGTGTATGAAACTTCAAAAGGTTTCTGTTTCCTTTTTTTTTCTTTTTTTTTCTTTTTTTTTTCTTTTCAGTTCTGATGGCTGCTGCAAAATTAGAAAGATCCAGAAGTGGTCAGGGGCCTGGTCTAATGCACTTCCGAAAGTCCATTACAAAGATGAATATAAATGCATGTGATATGGTTTTTCTGCAGACCCACAAACCACACTTAGCTATAAGAAACATATTGTGCATAGTTATTTTTTTCTTCAGAGTGATATGTTTACTAGGTCTACATTCTCAGTTTACCAGAGTACAGGAATGTCTACTTTACTAAAGCCAGGATCCTTTCGCAGTTCCCAGTAGGTTTCATTGGTAACCCAGGCTTCTCTTTGATTAGCATCAATAACTTTTCTGTAGAAAGGGGAAAAAAAGAGGTATAAAGAGACAAAAAGAGTTTTTACCTTATATTACAGATATTGCTTTTATGCAATAGAAAATCAAATTCCACACTTCTCTGATCTAACCCAATATTAAATCAAATTTTGTATTTCTAAAGAACACAAGAACAGTCAGAAATTTAAAAACAAAAGTCAACCTCTACCTATATCAAGAGCAGAAGACAGAGAAGACAGACAAGACTGAAAATCTGTTGTTTGATCTGTGAGAGCAGGTCTTAGAGCCACCTAACGCCCCATTGTTTACTACAGATTCTGATTACGTGAAGGCGGTTATCCAACAGATATAGCTTACAGAATGTAAGCCTTTAACCATTTCATTTTTTGTCTTTGCATTTTGCTTATTAAGCAAATTGCTGGATCAATAACATTCAGTCTTTTCACTTTTGATTCCCCACGTTAGACATGAGGCTACTTGGCATGACTATTCCTTGTTTCAGAAGAATGCTTAATTAAAAAACAGCCAACAAAAAACACCTTCATTCAAAAATGAATGCATTTTAAGTGTATACATATACATTTATATATATATATGTTGTAGATATAGAGATAGATAGATAGATGGATGATGTTGCTGTTCAGGTCAGACAGTATTACTTGTCTATACAATGACTTTAAAATGTCCCTAGTTAAATCTTAGATCCTAATATTATACTTCTAATTCCACTTCAGTAGGAAGGCGTATATAGCTGAGGCCCATTATGAGAAAATGATCATTCAGTTATGAAGCTTAACTGTGTAAAAAGTGCTTCAGAGAAGCAGGTGTCAGATATCGTATTATATTTCTTAAAACTGCAACTTTCCAAGCTTTCATGATTATCAGTCTGTTGGTAGTATTCTTGTAGTACTTCATCCAGTTACACGCTGGAAAACAGAGACTTACTACCCAAATGAAAAGACTCACTTAAAAAACTTGGGTACATATTCAATGCCGTTTTCTTCCATGTACCGCCTCCGAGCTCTCTGGAGTTCCTCTATTCTTTGTTTCTCAGATGCTGCTGCTTCTATATTTCCTTCCTCCAGAAGCCTGTAGGAATAACAGCAGGCTGTATAGCAATCACACAGTGTCTAGTCCAAGGGATTTTCCAGCACCCATCATCACAAAGGACAAGCAGAAGGCAAGTGTGTTGTCAGTGTTGTACTTTCAGATCCTGCCTGAGATGCGACTCCCACAGCTACGTGTACCTGACCTACAGCCTAAGGCACACGCTTTGTTCAGCAACTTCAGCACATCACAAACACTGAAGGACTATCAGCTGAGGATATGGAGGGAATTAGTGTTGCTTCCATCCATAGCAGAAGTGCATGGCATTTCAGAGCCTGTTTTTCAGTTTGTCATGAGGAATCTGCCCCAAGGTTCCACTACAGCTCTGTGGCTTCAACAAGAAGCATTCTAATTTCCCTCAGCTGGGTTAAGCAGAAATTTGAGTGCAATACTGACTATCTTCTCTACTAGCAGAATCCTCCACAGCTTAATTCAGACTGTAGTGAAGATACAAACAGAATTCAAGACTCAGTCAAACTCAGCCTTGAGCCCACTAAATATTAAATGTATAAATAAGCATTCTTGCCTTTGATCTGGCCTGAATCGTGCATCTGTTGCAGGAAGAAGATCTTTCAGTAAAGGATCTAATTCATTGAGCTCAATAGCAAACCTTGTGAAGCCGTAATAACGCTCATAATTGGTTGGCATGGAGCCTGAACACATAAGACAAAGGAAAAAGCTTTTAAGCTATTACTCTAAATATGCAAGATATTCCTTTATTTATAAACTTTTAACAGAAGTTATTTTACACTTACAATTAAAAATCATCAAAAGCTATTCTCTAAGTGAAAAAAATTCACTAAATATTAACATCAACTGCTTTTCCTGCAGAGATTGTAATTACATGTTAATAGACTCAAAGCTTTCATGATCTTCCATTTTAAACAAAAACTAATGTTTTCAAGCTTTTCAAATTAAAAACAGTTTCCCGTTCCCCAGAAAGTGGGTCTATCAAATGTCTGTCTAAAACCTAACCTTAACTGATCTTCAGAGTTCATTTTGGAACTTAGCACACACTCACAGACTGATTTGCAACTACAAGGATTCAGAACAAACATTGCAGAGAGCAGGGTGCAAAGTACAATTCAAAATACGAAAAACAGAAAGTAGAATTCAAAATTCTAAGAACAGTAATTCCTGGATAATGCATTTATGAAAGATACAGGTGCAAAGGATGACTAATTCAACCTCAGGCCTCTAAGCAAGCAGGAAGTTGAAATCAAATCCTGAAAGCCCCAGGTGTTCACCACCAATCCTTTAGGCTAATAAAGCATTAGGACAACAAACTCAATAAACCCCTATTTGGTGAATCCAAAAAAGTTACCCTGCTCTCTGTCAGAAGGCAGACAGGCCTGTCCAGATGCCCAATTTTTATCTTAATTTTATTCTTCTGTTGACCCCAAGGTCCCAGCACATCTGACCAGGAGACAGACTGAGATGTAAAAGATTATGCCCTGTAAGACCATTTCCATTTACCATTATTATAAACCCACGTAAATTGTTGTTTGCGTAAACAGGGATTTATATTTCTCTAGTATTATTCTGTGCATTTAAAATGAAATCTAAAACAGCTTCACACCTTCCAGAACTTTTTACAAGCCTCTTACCTGGTCTCCATATGCATTTGGCTGAAGGTGCAACCCCACAATAGAGGCCTTCATGCCACTTTCCAAAAAGGCGGTGAACCACCTTCCCTTCTTGATCTATCACAACGCCCTGGACCTCATTTACATTTGAATTCCAGTAGTTCACCTGCAAGTTTAACCAAGAATTACTAGCTCATACTGTTTTTCCAACTACCCATTGTATCAAAACACATAATGAATGTCTCTTGGCACGTGGTGCCAAATGTCCAAATTCTGTGTTGGAACAGCTCACCTGGAACTAATACCAAAATTCAAAAATCATATGGTCCTAACACTAACTGATTTATTATAGGATAAACACTGCATAATTTGCCATGTGGTTTTATAAAAGCATTTAAATTAACTGCACATCTGGGAACTACATTCTCATTCATTAAGACAAATCCCACACAATTCTGCAAAAATCACCCTTTGCCTGTCAGAGCCAGCTAACACTCCTCTTCCTACATGAGGAGGCATTGAATATACATGTAATTTTATGGGAATCCTTTCATGGTGTTGAACACTATATGCAGCAGGAAGACATTCAGCCAGTATTACATTTCTGTTTCTCTTCTCTGTTTTGCTTTCCTTAGACACATTTAGCTCTTACACCTTCATCCAAGAGCCAGCTGCCCTTTCTCAGATGATCCAACAAAACACAAATTTCAGATTTATGTTAACACTCCATTGCTAACACTAAAATGATATCAATGTCTTTTGTTGTAATGTGAAGAGAAATTTATTTTTAGGGAAAATACTTGATAGTAAGATAGCTATGTAAACTTCTATTTTTATATATGGTCCTTGCCTGGATATTAAAATACTATGAACCAAAGCAGCAATACATAATATAAAGAGATAAAATATTGACTGACAAATTCTAGTAGAAGGAGAAGAAAAATGGCATGGTAGTGTACAGTGACTCTGTGTTTTCATTGTGTTAATATTAAAAAAAATTGGCATTTCATTTCTGATAAAAGGAATAAAAGATGAAGTGTGGAATATGGACTTCAGGAATAGTGAAGAAACAGCTTGATGTACCCTTAAATTACACAGTTATATGAATACAAGATATATATTAACATCCATATGTTACCTTAACAAAAGTGAGTTTACAAATACAAACACTGCTTTTTGTGTTTCTGATGGTTATCTCTCCGTAGTGCTCTATCCATCTCCTTCCACTAAGAATATTATGTATGCAAGTAGTGACTTTGTTCCAGACATAGTAATCTCCATACCTAAGAACAGATTAAGAAGTAGTTGGTAACATCTATTCATCATGATCATTACTGACAAAAAAGTAAAACATTGCTCCTTTATTGTAAAAACAAACCACATTGTCCAAAAACACCCACAGAGATGACAAAGTCCTGTATCTGGTTACATCACTAATCCTCCTTAGAGAAGCTCACCTAAACTCCAGGGCACAGAAAGGTGCTATAAGCCACAAATAAACACATTATGAGCCACTGAAGCCCTGCATGGCCTATTCACTGTCCTCAGAGCATGATGTGCTTTGGCCACAATTCCTATAGGGGCAGGATAGTGACCCCAGGATCAACATAATGCTGAATTGAGACTACAAGCAGAAAACGCAATTAAATCACAAATAAAACAAAATAAATATGAAAACCATACTAAGAGTGTGGGAAATTTGGACAGGAATCAAGGAAAGTAAGTAGGAAGCCAGGAGCACACTGGCACATCATCCCTTTGCTTTTGTAACAACTATCCAGTCAGAGCATCTCTAACATCAAACAGGAGAATAAAACCAGAGAATTACATTATGCAAAGCACATTGTCCTTCAGAGTTTAGGGGAAGGCATGAAGACAGAAGACAAGGGTGCTCCAGACTGTATTTACTTCCATTTTATAAGATGGATAAAGAGGTGAAGTGACGCTATACTGGTAGTTGCAGAAAGAAAGGCTGCCTGCAATGTACAGGAGCAAGAACACCACTACAAAACCAGAAGACATGTTTAAAGTATCCACTCCTTGCATATTCTTAGGATTTACAAGCTGCAACTAGTCTCACTGGTGGTGAAACGACTGCTTGTCACTACTCTGCCAACATCTCCATACAAATTATGGAGAATATACTTTGGTTTATCCACATTTTGAAAGAAGACCTTTCATGATCTGGTTGTTCTGAGGGAAGACTCAGTGGCATTAGGACAGCACCAGCAGCTGACAGTCCTGCACTGCAGCCTTGCTCTGAACAGCTCATCACTGCTGTACACATAAAACATGGGTTCTCTCTGCCTCTCTCTCCATCACTTTCTAGAGTGTATATTTTTCCTCCAAAACCAAAAATAGATCTTCAGGTTCAAAAATGTTCCACTAGTCCCACCTGAAAACTAAGGAGAGATTAGAGGTGGGCATCAACCCTCACCAGTACAATCCACATCATGTCTGCTTACCCCAACCCATTCACAAGGCAGCACAGACTGAAGTGCACCAAAGGGTGAAAACAAGAGGAGAGTAGCTTACTTTGGAAGAGTCACATTCAAGGTTCCAACAGGCAGAATTTCCATTGATTTTCCCCAGAATTTGTTTTTCCACCTGATATCTGAATATAACAGTGAAATACTTAAAAAACTGAAACTACCAAGGTCTCCCCCTTGCACTGATCTGTGTGGCACCAGATCATCTGTACTGGACTACCCAATTCAAAACAGGGTAGTAGATAGTACAAATTTGCCATGAAAATACTAAAGAAAAAAATACTAGAAAATTACATTAGGTCAGAAAAACTAAATGTAAGTTTAATTAAGAATCATGTCTGTGCTGCATGATTGTCAAATGTCTTGTGCAAACATTCAATACAAATTACAGGCATACATCAGCAGGCACAAGGAAAGAAAGAGTAATTTTTCCAACTGTAAAAAGAACTGCTTGTGTTTGTAAGAAATAGTAATTTTATTGGTAAAAAATTTTAAGTGGGAGAGTATAAACAGGCTGCAAGTGCAGGGGAACATGTTTGCTCACTGTTAATGAGAATTTGGAGTAAAATAGATCATCAGTTTATAATATGTCACTTCAAAATAATAAGTATAGAAATTCTCAGTAAGTTCCAAATGAAAAGCTCAGCTTTCACAAATGTTTTGCTTCATAATAAAAAAGGAATTATGCTTTTGAATTAAAAAGTATACCTTGCCAAAACACAAAGTTTTTCGATTCACAGTGACATGCCGAAATGGGAGGATGGTGGCTAACCTGAAACACAGTTTGGTTGAGTCAAAAACATTTAATTTTCATTCCTAAGACAGTACAATTTTTATTGCAATATGAAAATACGAAATAGCTCATGTTGCTATGGAAACAGATACAACTTAAGTGATTGTACTTAAAACAATTAGCAATTACTATAAAGATATATTCCTTCTAGCATTTAATGAAGTCCACTCATATTAACAATATTTATTTACTTCTAAGAAAGCAAACCATTCTAAGTAGAAAGAAAAATGGGATTATTCTATAAAATGAAGAACAAAATATATAAATCTAAATAGGAATGTCTATCTAGACACAAGGTTTACCTGCTCTGAGAAAAATCGAAATCCTTTGTCTTCTCTAATACATTCATAAGTTTCACCAAGCACTGGGTTAAATGGCTTGCTTCCTGCTCTGAAGTATGTAGAGGCGTAGCCTGATGCTGCAAAGGCAGCTATGAGAACCTGCAAAAATACAGACCAGACCATGAGAATAGGCAGGCACTCTTGTGTATGTGCCATCACCTTGAGGTACCACACAACTCATTTTGCTCAGAGTGACAACTGGAACAATGAAGCATGCCTGACAGTGAAACCATGCATCCCAGTCAGAACCAGTGTAAACTTTATTTCTTATGTTGATATAATTTCTTTTTCTTCATGGCTTCATTCAGTCTTTCAACAGTCCCTTAAAATGACAATCTGCACACAATACAGGTTTTTCTGCCTTTGACCAGGCTTATCATTAGTGACCTGAAACAGACACAGCTCTAGTCCTACTTCCCATAAATATTATTTAATAACTTCTAATTACAAGATCACATACCATTTTCCTATAGGAACTATTTTATTTGCTGCCAAATATAAACAGTTCCCACTTAGGATGTTCTTAGCCCAGAGTTATCTCCAAATCTTCCACACATATGCAGCCTTAACAGCCAGCCCCCTTGTCTGTATGTACAACCACACTTTAATCATCTCTAAGCCAGGCCTGACTGGGATTAATACGTGAAGTGGCATGCCATGGTTATTTAGTTTACAGGTCACATTTGCAGAGTTTTGAAAAAAAAAATCACATCAGCCAGTCAGAAGACCAAACAAAACTTCAGAAAAACAATGCAGGGATAAAAATTAGTCAGCTATTGGCAATATATATTTGCCCAGTAGGGCAAATCTTTAACCAGCTTCCCCTCTCCTCCTGCTAGTGAGGACACAACCCTCAAATGAGGTTTTACGTGCTTTGTTTTCTTCCCACTGTGTAATTGGTGCTCCATTCTCTATTCATTTTGTATTGTTCAGAAATGCAGTACTAACAAAATTTACATTCTTTTCACAGGCTTTTCTTCAACAGTAAAAACCTTCATTCCTCTAAAACTGTTTAAAACAGATTAATTAATCTAAAAACAGATTAATTTCAACTTGCTTTTAAATTTAACTCTAGGACACTGCAGGAAAATGAAGGGGTCTACTATCCTTGCGATACAGAGAGCAATGGAAAAAAAAAAAAGGTTTTCCACTATTTTTGCTATCTTCAGTAAGCATCCAAAAGTCCTGCTCTTTCAAAGAACAGTGAACAAGCAGTAACACATTCACAGCATTGCTGCCATAAGCTTTGGGTATTCAGCTCTTTTCCAATTAGTCCCATATGCCTCAGCTCAGGTGTGCAGTTTGCTTTTTTAGGGATGCTGTTTGGTTGTATTCCCAAATACTGCAGCAGACATCTGTAGCAGAGAAGGGGATTGAATCCACATTTCCAAGGAAGCTTTAAGTTGCCCCATGGCTTTTCCTTCTTGAATTCTCCCTACTACTTCAATATTGACCTTCCAAACTTTTCAATAAAGGCAGCAATCAGTCTGCTTTATTCATTACAATCCTGCCCACTCCTTACAGAATCTCCCACCTTTTGTGAGGGACAGAATCACAGAATACTCTGAGCTGGAAGAACCCACTATGATCACCTCATGAGTCTTGTAAGAAAACAGAATGTGATGATTAATAATTCAACTCCCTTTCTCAAGGCAGGTTCAACTTCTTCAGTGTTTAGGACTCCTCACTCTCCTGCAGGCCCTGTGAACATGGCAGTTCAGGGACTTGAGTGTGCGACTGTGTGACAGCCAAAGGTAACCTCTCTTCTCCTAGCTATCCACAGTGCTGCAAACCCATACCAGGGAACAGCAGATACCCTCAGCAACAACGCTCCAACTTTCCCTTACAGCCTTTCCCTGAGTCTTCTGAGGAAAAGGAGACATGACAGAACAAAGCACCCTGAGAGCTGAGCACAGGCTGCTGGCTGTCAGTAAAAAAAAACAAAATGGACTTACAGGGGAAGGCAAACTTTGTTCTGGTGTTTTGAAACTTCTCTCTTAGAAATTACCTGGGAGGACACCTTATTCACACCTATATTGATCATAATGCAGCCACAGACTTGATTAACTCTTGAAGGCTGCTGGATTTGATCACTGAGAGCTAGGAAAGGATGCTGCAGGGTTAGAAACTGCCAATGCCTACATCTACAATCATACAGCATGAGATCAATTTCATATAAATGAGTTACAACTGCAGGAGTTGGTTTGAGGTCAAGAAAAATCCCACAGCCTTGCTCAGATCAAACCTAACACCTGTAACTGTTCACAACACATTTGTGATCCAGCAGGGAGGTCTGTTGTGTGACCAGGAGGAGAAAGAGATGACCCTGCACAGACCCCACTCAACAGCTCCCTTTCTAACAGAGACAGAAGAAGACCCTCCAAATGCATTACCATGCGCTCATAAGGATCATCTGTTTCAGCAGCCTTGTCCAAGAGTTCACTGTATTCCAGCTCTTCACAAAGATGTTGCAAGGTATTCAGAGGTTCATTTAGCTCAACTGGCATGGATACTTTGGAAAGATCTTTGCCAATGTTATTTCTCAAAATATTCCAGAGATTGATGTTACTGGTGTCAGGGCTGGGAGCTGGGAGACAAGTCCTCCGTCCATTTCTGAATGCGCCTCCTGTCAGCTCACCATTAAGAACTGGGAAGGGAAGAAAAACATTGTCATAAGAAAGCACCAGACTAAGAAAAACAGAGCTCTCCATTCAACCAAATCACTGCCAGAACAAGCAAGCCCAACTTCATTGTTTTCAGCTGAGTTTGGACTTGTATTGACATGCAGTAATTCTGGTACATGAACACAACCAATGTAATTTCTCAAAGTTTGAAACACAGTATACTTTGCCGAGAAATGTTGTCTGCAACACTGGTGTTGTCCTCAGATATATTGTCACTCACATCACTGATATAAGATTCATCATCAGAAGCCTAAAACATAAATTAAAACATCCATTAACTCAAATACATATAAAACAAAACAGGCAAAAATAGTTAACTGAGACACAAATATTAAAAAAAATCTCTATCCAATTAAAACTATTAACTAAATGAACTGAATGTTTCAATCTCTCCATAGTGCAAATGCACTAAAAATGTCAAAACAAATGCTACATTGTGCTCACGTTTCTGAATTCCTTATTATCCAAATACAGACATGAGATCTGCAAAAGGTGACTTCAAGTAAGATCAGGGCTTCAAGATTGATAACATAATGTGCTAGGGATGGGAGGTGAGAATAGATAATCAGATTTGTGCTGTTTATAAAGAACCAAACAATAAAATGTGACTTATGTTTCAGCAAACAAATTATGTAAACATCAATCTATCACTTTGCAAAACAAGAATCTCATCAGCATTAAGAATATTTTTTAAAAAATTTTACACCACTTTTTTCATGAAATATTATTTTTTTGTCTATTTCACTCATTACAGAGAATAATTTTGTATACATATGTAGTAGAAGATTTTTTTAAAGAATATTTGAAAATCTAAATTTAATCGACTGCACAGCCAGCTGTAACTGTCTATGTTATCCTTAGGTGGAACTGCCATAGCCTGGAAAGGACATGTACTGAACAGAAGTAACTGACACAACCAACTTTCAACTCAGTTTTACTCTTCAGGGAACTCCTGCACTTCTTCATGTGATCTCAGGTTTGTTTATCTACACTTTACACATTCTGATACCTTTTTATTCTAAGTAGCATTACTAAAAAGAATAAAAAAATCACTAGTGGTAGCACTACCTAACTGCGTCCTGCAGCACAGCTGCCACATGCTGTCACACACAGCCTACCTCGTTTTCTGACGAGCTGGCAGACAGAAGCACTTCCTGTGCATCAAAGAACTCTGAAACAGATTCAGACATAGAGAGCCTGCTTTCATTAGAAACTTGCTGAGACAGTGGCAAACTGACATGAATTTGTTCACCCGTCTGTAAGTAAAGCACAGAAATGTAAAAGTATTATTTCTAATATTAAAGAAATACACATAGAAGGGTTAAATCACCTGAGTAAGATTTTTATGCCACATAGAAGCACAGTGTAAAGACAGCATTTTAGTAGCACTGTGTGCGTACCTAAGAGAAGAGACTGAGAATGACAAAATAAAGTGCATTTTGAACTGTGGGATACATGTCATCATTTGAGGCCTACCCAGCATCTACTGCCAAGTTTTAGCAGCATGAAATTGCAGATCTAGTTCTCTATGCAGAGAATTGATTTTGTGGACAATAGCTAGATTGTGTCAGACAAGTTCAACCATGACTTTCAGATTAAATGTCCTCTGGTAATAACAAATTACATCACTGGGAACTAGTTTTGATACAACTAAATTTAATTATAAAGATTTATAAGGTCTGGGAGTTATAAATTACTTTCCAAAGAAATGACCTTGTGAATCAGTTTAGTAACAATGTTTGAAATGTTTGAATATTTAGGAGGATAGCTATAATATGTATTTTTATGGGCTTTTATTCTATGCTTACACTCCAGATCTCATTTGCATTATGCCATTAACACTGACCCTACGAAAAGAAATGAACTCTTTATGTTTTGTTATAAAGAAAAGTAACAGCAAAGGCAAGGATTCAAAACTGTGTTATGTTGATGTCAGTAGTGCAGCAAACTAAAACAGAGAATACCCTCCTCTTCTTGCTAGTGGGATACCAGATTTCAATGTTACCCTGCAGACTATCACATTAAGAAAAAATTAAGACGCTCTCCCTGTACCATTTTACCACAGGATCTGTTGCTGTGGAGGGAAACAGATCTTGGACTTAATCCCTTAATTCATACAGCACATTGTTGCTGGGAGATAACGCAGATGAAACTACTGAAGCCCTTTTAAACACAGTCAACTCTTCAGATTGCAACACAATCCCCATTAATCTTATTCCAGAACTCCTGCATATGGTTTTGTTGACATCTTAATGCTGTAGAATTATTCTATACAGTTACCTCAAAAAGCACTAACAAAACATCCCAAAAACATAAACAAGTCAGGAGGTCAAAACCCTTTTTTTTTCAATAGGACTTATAAGATTGTAGATAGATTGTGATGCTTGATGACTTGTAATGAAAACAGAGGCTCATTTTATCGTAATCATTACAGGAAGTGACCAAAATTTTGAGGTTTCACATAAACTAGAGGGACTTGGAAAAATACACAAGCTCCTACCTGAAAAAGACCCTCACAGAAGCATTATCTACGTGCTGCAAGATTATAGAGATGTATATAAAACAAGCAAGATAAGTGAATGAGAGTTCTGGAAACTTCTTTGAAAAACTTCTTCAGTCAGGCTTACTTCTACTGAGACAATGATGAACAAATGAAAAACGAACAGCTAACCAACAAAAAATACAGAACAGAAGAGAAGTTCCTTGCCCAGAACTTCACTGCAGATTGCTGTGCTGTGGCACCACTTCACTTCTATGTTCTGTTGCTAGCCTCCAACATGCTAGATTCTTGGAAAAATTGTTTAGACAGTTTCAGAAAGCAAATAAACAAAAACAATTTTACCTTTCATGCTTGTTGGAAGAAATAACTAGGAGACAAGACTATGATAATTGAAATGGCATATGCACAGAAAAAAATAGCGGAAATGACAAATAAAAAACATTTTTGTAAAATGCAAGGAGAATGGTTGCCAAAGTGACCATACTAATTGTAATATATTATTGTCCACAAATTCAGATTGTCACGAGGGAAGCTCACTGTTATTAACACAAATGTTTGTTAATCTGTTGACTAAGGAAAGCAAAACAAGAAAAACTAGATGTTGCAAAAAATATTAGTGCAGTGCTTGGTTCATGGACTGAACCTTTTGATTTTAACAGTACCACTCAAGATTCTAAATGTGATACCCTTTAGACACTTGCAAGATCAGGTCATTAAATAATTAATTGTTCTGTTGATTTGGCAAGAAACTAAGGTGCAGAATTGGTGTGATACATTCAAATACAGTAAAACCTCACTAATTCCCACAGCCAACAATTAATTTTCCAAAACTGGAGTCCTTCTCTGTTCCTCTAAAGAGACCAGGCCCGGTTCTTTCATGTCTGACATATGGAAAACAAAAAACTCAAGTTTTATTGTAGGTAAGGAAATATAACCTGACTTTTTCTATGACTGAACATTTGGCAATCTGAAAAATTCAATAATTTTTCAGGTGTGTTTCAGCTATTTAGTGAGAATTAGCAAGGTTTGTTCGTACTCTAAATCCATTAAAGGCCAAAGTCTTACCTCATCAGGACTAGGGATAATATTTACACTGACAACCTGATCACAAATAACAGATTCTGAATGTATTCTGTTCAAGCGACTCCTTAGTTCAGCATTCTGGTTGAGAGCCTTAAAATAAAAATTGCACATTTCATTTAAAATTAAAATGTAAACATTAAAGAAAAAGAAAAATTAAAAAAAATTAAAACACAAAAGAAGAAGGAAAAAACCTTCTTTCCAGCAATTTCCTAAAAAAATCACAGAACCTCCTTTCTTTCATTTATAGGGAGATACCTGTTTTGAGATCCTCTCTAACATGATTTCATCTTTGGTTACTTTGCCTTCACTGTTTTTCAGGAGAGAGGGGGGACAGATGTTCTCCCACACTGTAACACTGGCACTCTCCCTTAGTTCTTCAGAGAGCTCTTTGGCAGGTGTACTGGTGGGTTATGCACATTATGGAAATGGGGAGTGGATGCAGCAACAAAGAGTGAAACTGCAGAACAATACATAGGAACTACCCACAAAATGCCCAGAGAGGCAATTGTTGGTTTACATCTATACAGCCTCTTCTGAGTCAAGGTTATTAGCACTCAGAGGCTGCAAACAGAAATTGCTTCCTTTCCAGTAAAACCAACATATTCGCTAGTATCATTGTCTACCCACCCAGATCAATTTTACAGGTTTGTAAAACTGTACTTATTTCAAACTACTGATCCACTACAGTATCACAAATACCAACAGAATTCAACTGATGTCTAGTATCTTCTGATTTTTCTCCTATTCTAAAGTCCAACCTAGATTATAAATTTGGGTCCATAAACATGTATTATCTGTTGGTTGGAAAGACTAGTGTGTGAGATTCTGAAATCCAGAAGTATAATATGCTACATATCTAGAACACGGCTGACTTAACCTTAATATATCCCCAGCACCGAAGATTATAGAAAAGAACAGAAAGACATTTTGTTTCAGTAGAAAAGGACTGTTGCAATGAAGTAAGAACCTTCTTCTGTCTCCCCCTAGTGCAGATTGAGGAATAGATTGCATGAATGTACTAAAACAAAGAAAGACCAAAGGAAAATAGGTAAGCTTAAACTGTCACTGAACAGTTTAAATTACCCAATTTTGCTTTGTTCTGAAATGGTCTGGGTATGTTCCTGGTTGGCATCCCTCAGAGAGGGAAGGTAATGACTAACAGCAGCCTGACAGTCGCTTCCTCAACAGCTCAACCCTGGTCACGAGAGTGAACAAATCCAGTCACAGTCCATTTTCCACTTCCTCTCCACTGAAGCTGTGAACTAATGTGTGACAGTGACTTTCAAACTAATCTTGGAAGCCGGGACCAAGAAGAAAACATGATCCCCTATTTCACGCAAGTTGCTAATAAAAATGCACAGGTCTTAGATAAATTTGTGTCCATAACCAGAAATGGATACCCTTATCTCTTGTCCCTAACCCTTTTTTATCACAATGCACAGCAATCAATCTGCATAGCAAGATATACATCTGCATCTATAGAAAGGTTTGTCTTTAAGCATCTGCTCATACTTCTTGCAGAGGCAGTCCTCCACACCAATCCAGCAAACACTTTTATGCTTCCTTGACAATGAATTTTGAAAAATTGAGTTATTTTGCAACCTGAGGATTTATTGTTGCTAATTTCTTCTCCCCCACTAAAGCAAATTACAATTTTTTCTTTAGCTTAAGTGGGAGAGACACTGGAGAGTTAACAGGTCTGCATCTGGAAATCAAATTTACCCATGACTATGTTGCAACCCAGGACTCCTTTCGCATTTAGAGACACGGACATATAAAACAAATCCAACAATATATGGTCAAAATTTAAAACTTAATTACAGAAACAAGAATATTTCATTGGCTGTGCTGGAACAGCTCCAAGAAAGACATCTAGCATTTGTATAAAAACTTTTGATCCTTTTTCTTTACTTTGGAAAACCATAACAGATACATGCTTACACAAATTATATCCTTCACCTCCACATGCAGTGAGGTTAGATCTACATCATAACAGAATATGCCATAGTTCTGGCTGAGAACTTGGCTTCTTCTTGTCTTCTTTGAGGTGAAAGGAAATGGCCAAAATACAAAAGGAATAATGCACCAGGCAAGACAGATGTGCTTGAAATCAAATCAAGAACATACCTGAGAGAGGGACTGTCTGAGGTGAGCTATTTGAGCATTGTGGCCTGTAAGATCCTGCTCTGAAACAATCTGTTTAAGCTTCTCCTTCTCTATAGCTATGCTGTTAAAGGCAGACTTCAAAAGAGAATGCACTAAACAAAAAGAAAAAAATAAAACAGGTGTTTTCTTGGCTACAGAAATCACATTGACATCTCACAATATTTCAGCAATAAAGACAGAGAGTGAGACTTCCATCCCACAGCAATGGACATTAGAAACAAGGGCCTGAACTCAAGTAATCCATGCCAAATTAAGTACAAACCCTTACAGCTTGCGACTGCAATGTGCGTACTGTATGCTCACACACATCTCATCTGAGCATATCCTTGGTACTCAGCATATGGAAAGGTGCATATTTGGAAAAACTGTGTCCAATGTATGTTATTTTCTTTACGGTTTTTATTTGTACTTTTCAGAGTAACAGAAATATCAGTTCTGCTAGACTTAATATCATACTAATAAAGAGAATTACTTGGTCTTTAAACAGGTTTTGAATTTTTTAAGATGTCAGTCTCACTTTTTTTTCTATGCTTGTTATAAAACAGCAAACTGATAAGAAAACCTTTGTAAAATGGTATTCTCCAGTTTGTAGGACCATTCACTCACTGGCAATAAAACTGCAATTCAAAAGTACATTCCTGTAATAAGCTCTTTTTCCAATGATTCCATTAACATAGAAAATATTGCACAAGAATGATTTCACAGGATTATGTTCAGCAGTTACATTCTGAATCATCATTTGGGGAGAAATACTGCATTTTGTTGAGGAAAAAAATGTTTGCAAATTCAGTCACTTATTTACAGAATGGAGAAAGCAGTTTAGAAGACTTGGAAAGCAATTTCAGAGTTTACCTATCTGTACATTTATGACATGCATGGAAAATATAAGAAGGATAATATATGTAGCCTTTGTGTAAGCCACCCGAACAGCTAAAAACTCTTATACAGTATCACCCAATGCAGATGAAAGCCCTGGCTAAGAGAGGGCAATAAATAAACACGACAGAGAAGCACATTACAGGGAAGACTTGGCATCTCCAGCTACCTTTTTGTGCCATCAAGCAGAATTCTTCTTGAAGCTTCATGTACTCAGTAGAGCACTCCAGAGGGTCTGCCACATGGCTTGGGGGAGCCTGAAACTCAATGTCTGCACAGAGGTTGGGGTTGGATGAATGCAAGCGGACAGGTGACATGGTAGCACTGAAAGGGACCTACAGTGGGAAACAGAGAAGAAATGTTCTGTAAGTGCAACCAAACTTGTGACTCCGTTGAAGCAAAACAAAGATTTCTTCTGAAAAGACTTAGTTCACAATGTGAAGAATATGACAAGAGTGAACATGTAACTTCTTACTCTCCTAAATCTCAACACAGCTGATGCAGACTTCTCTTGAATTTTTTCACTGAAATAGAAAAAGAAGGCCTAAATACACAGCTAACACCTAATGATGGAGTATTTAAATTCTAACATTTATAAAACATGGATTATTTCCTAATTAGAAGATTACTGGAAAATTGAACCATGAGACATGTTCCTTTATATTTGGACATTTGAGAGTAATTGTAGATGAATCTGTTGTTGCAATACCAACATCTGAAGTATGAAAGTTCCCCCACAGATCTAGAAATAGGATATAATATCAGATATATCATTAAAGTTTTTCAAAACTAGTAAATCTTCAGTTGAAACTCACTGTACTGGCAATTATGAAGAGGGAAGAAGCATACAGTCTTTCTATTTTCTTTTTAACTAAACAAACAAACAATAACATCAAAATAAAATCAATACTCTGCCTGATTTGCATTTAAAATACATGGACCATAAATACATGCAGAGAGATATAGTATAGTAAGACAAAGCAAAGAATTTAGTTTATTATCTTTCCACTTCACTTTCTCCTCTACTTTTCAGGTACAGTGATTAAAAAAAAAAAAAAAGTAATGCAAAACTTTCTAAGTTATATATACATGTATCATGTACTGAGCAGATACCTGTATGCTACATATGCACTGTATGGCTACCACTGCCATATAAGTGAGGTGTGTGCATTTTGTATTTTACTTTAATATTACCATTTACATGCATTTATATGAAAATCAGGCCAATAACACAATTTTCAACTGTAAATGCAACAGAAAGACATGCAGAACTACATTTGGTCACTTAAATATTAACCACTGTTTAATGTATGAAACACTGTTTAGTACATTAAATCTAATTAATTTCATTAGATTGATCAAATGTATAAAGCAAGGATTTTCACACTGCAGCCCAATGTAATTATTCAATTATGAAAAATGGGACCAAAATATAAAATGTCTCTTCCAAGGCATGATAAAGAGCAGAAGATAATATAAAAAGTCATATTACTAAGAATTATTATCAACAGATGAGTTCTAGAACCACTGTCATCAGTGGCTGAACTTGATACTTTGTTATTTGATTAGATCAGGGAACAGTTTTATCAATTCCTTCCTGTAAAAACTGACATCAATACACATTTTAGGTTTAGGTTCTGATTCTCCAATGAAACCCTCAAAATCCTGTTGGATCTATTAATCATTCCACTCATGAGCATACTCTGTGAAATAGAACAGCATGGAAAATGTTTCTCAGTTTCCAGGTACGTATAGTACATTAAATAATAACTCTATGGCACCTATCTAATATAAGTTTATTCCTGCTGTCATGTATTTTGATGTCCACCTATATCAACAAAGTACATATTTTTTTACTGGAATTTATTTTATCCTCATATCAAGAAGAATTTGTTAACAGAAGATGTAAAATAAAGTCCTTCTATTCATACTGGATATTTAACCCTTTATCTTCTTCACAATTACCAGATTGCCTGTCTCAAGAGCCCAGCCTAACATTAGGTTAATGGACTACTGTGGCTAAACGTAGGTTTATTTCAAATTTGTTTTCCAAAAATTTTCCCCTCCTTCAATGGGAGAGCATGTTTCCAGAACTTTGTGACTGGGAGCATCACAAAGCTTCCACTGCTCTGGGTGGCTCCAGGAGGGCAGAATGGGTATCTACACTGTACTTGTGCGTATGGAGAACATACCCAACCCTCCAGAAGGCAGGAAAGAAGCTGACACCAGCAACAATGCCAGAGCTTGAGGGAGAGAGGGAGAATCCCCCCAGCCCCACAAGCCTGTGGTGATGGGGGAGGTTCCCCAGACCCACAGGGACTGGCAGAGCTGCAGGCAGGCTGCCCACACACGCAGGGGGCTCTTTAGTCACTCTCTGATGAATCAAGCTGAAGAGATCTGCTTTAGAGCCACCATTTGTGCCTCAAACCTCAGCTGGCCAGGCTGAAAAGAAAGGTTTCTGCAATGATATTTATTGAAAAAAATACTATTTTCAATTAAACCCTAGAAAGAGAATTTCCATGTTCTACAAATATGTCACACTACTTGCAAGAAATACACATTCATATGACAGAGACAAGTAGCCTTGCTGACTGCTTTAAATTCAAGAACCAAAAATACTGAACTGTTGATTAACATGAACTTTCCTCATAAGCATTTTTTAGAAAAGTTTCCAAGCTACTTTCCATAACAGATTAAAAAACACCACATTAAACAGCCATTTTCATTCTCTTGAATAGGCGACAGTCCAGGAAACACTGCCAATATACTTCTCTTCCCCTTTTTTCCTTTCATGGCTATGCTTTCTCTCTGTATTAACGGTCACTTGATCCTGACTTTACCACCCATTCTCTTTCTGGTTGTTTTTAATTGATGTTGTTTTGAAGGTTTTTGAAAAAATATTTTTATCTTCTTGATCCATCACTCTAGTTTTCTCCATACAGACACTTCTAGACATAACCTCACATGAACCTTGTCCCAGCTTCCTGCTTTACACCAGAGGCATTGCACCCACTCATCCATCACCTTCTTCAGAATTACATGCTCACATAGGAACAGACTGCTCCTGGCCAAGTGGCTTGTAAGGAAAACCTCTTTCTGCTGTGCATTTAGCTGATATAATTCTGTAACCCTCAGTCTATGCACACAGCTTCACTGTCTGGGAGAAACAACCATTTTGTACATCAGCCAGGAAGAACAGGAACACTGCAACAGCCACAGAGTCATTTTGGTGCCTCTAGCTTTCCTTCCTCTTGCATTTTTTCCAGCTCCTCCAAAACCTCCCTCAACGGGTCCTCACTTGAGCTGCAGGTAAAAACTCAGCCACTCCCTGTTCTCTTAGTGTCTTCCAAACCAAGTCCAGCTGCATTTGTCTACTGAAGCACTCCCTAGGTGAGGAGTACAGCCCCTGCCAAAGCTGTTTAACTGCTGCTGAGCCTTCTGGTTAGAGCCTCCCACCATACTGCTCAGCCCTGCAAACTGGGAATCAGGCAGATTTCTGTGCTAGGCAGGCAGACCAACACAGTCAAAACAGCAATCAATTACAGAGCACACATTCAGCATCAACTGATTACAGAGGAATAAATTTAGATGAGTTAATTTCGAAGCTGGAGAAACAGTGATATGTCTCATATGTTTTAAAAGAGCATAGCAATAACTGAGTTTGTGGTTCAGCTAGGAGAAGCTCAAGATAGTTGGGCTTAAGCAGAAAATATGTCAGATCTAGGGAATTTTAGCTTCTGCTTGGAACAGCTGGAATACTTCAGCCTGGTGAAGTCATGCACTGCTTGGGCTAGATAAGGAGTTTGCATTTAAAGCTCACTTCAGTCTTTGGCTGAACAGTGCTCCCTATTTAACTGCTGTACTTATCTGCTGATGGATTAGTACAAATGTCTATACTGGGCCTAATGAGTACTTTCTTGATAAAGCAGCAGCTGAAGATATCTTCTTGATGGCAATTCAATTTCACAAACAGGACTTCCCACAACTAATCCGCAGCCCTGGTGTTGATTTCATAGCTCCCTATTTTCTGACAAAGACTTAGAGAATTAGCAAAACTGCTACAGACACTGAGGTAGTAATATGACTTTTTGGGATTATGGAACGTAAACAAAGTGCCTCAAATGAAAAGGCTAACTGTATACTACATATAAAAATATCAGGAAATTTTATAATTCCATGGTTATTTGTAACAAATCTCCTTAGTTCTATTGTCTTGTTATAACTGTCATGACATCTTTTAACAGAATTTGATCTTTTTTTCTCTATTTTGTATAGTCTGTCAAAGACTTATTGCGTGCAGGGCCTGAGTCTGTCACTTGCACTTACATAAAGGAGGAGGAGGGTTATGTACCATGTAAACAAGCTCAGACCCACATTTATGGAACACATTTGTGTTGGGCCTGACTACTCCTAAGAATCTTAGCTGAAAGCAGGTAGCATGGACACCTCCAAAAAGTGCAAGAAACATTATTCATAAGCTTATTACACAACCAAGTTACACAGCTTCCCATCCTTAGAGCTATCCCTTGATTTTTAAATCCACTCACTGTTGTAGCCACTGCAGCTGCCAGTCTCTGCCGGCGTCGTGTTGTGCTGAACTGGCCCTTCGGTGCCGGCCCTTCCTGACAGTGAATGCAAGAAAAAAAGGAAGTAGAAAAAGAGAAGGGAAGGGGTGATGGGACACAGGAAGATGAAAGGTGATCAGAAAAGGGAGAGGGAGAGTCTTTAAGTGGGTTTCCATTTTGTTAACTCTTATGGCCTACACATGTTGAGGACATATCATGTGTTTTCAGCTGTGCATGCCAGAGTCATAAAAAGCTGGATACTTCACTAAAGTTATCTCCAGATGAGTTGGACTGCAGTGCACTCACTAAGGCTACAAAAAAAAAAAAATCAACTAGCATTGCCATTCAGTTATAAGGCAATAATGGAATAAGAGAACAAAAAGGATGCTACAGCATGCCAGAAAATAAAACAAAAATCAAACTCCTTCTGGAGCCACTTGACCATTTAGAAGATGAATTCTGAAAGAGATCACTTTGCAATAGTGGAAGTGCATAAACTGTGGTCACTGAAGATGCATGTGGCACAATGGTAAAATTTTTCAATGTGTATGTTATCTAGTGAGTTTTCTTAAGTAAACATTCTTGTACATAGCTCTGGCATTTCCAAATCCATCCTTGAGATTACTGAATCATTTTCTCCATACATCACTTTTTTGAGTTCCACCTACTTTTCCTATACATTATTGAAGGCTCGACTTTCAAACCAAGGCAAAAACTAAGACAAAGGAGCACAATAAAAACTAAGTATTTTGACAACTGCTTCCTTTTCTGCATGTCTAACTTGTGGCCTCATCCTGCTTAATTTTACATTTATTTTACTTGCAAGAAAATTTTTCACGGTACATTAAAGTCAGGCAAGTAACTGTCTAATGCAGAGGAGTTCCATACCTGTCATAAAGTCATTCTATTTAATCTTTAATAAAAATGCCATTATTTTGAAGCCATTTTAAGATTTTGGAAGACTAGGAAATACACCTTTCTGCCTTTAGAAAATGATTCTCAGTTCCTTTAATTTTTTCTTCTCCTGCATCCTATAGCCACTACAGTATTTTTAGATCTATCTACATTTTTAATTTTTTTTGCAAGAAGCCTGATCATCATGCAAATAACAAAGCATAGACTGGATACATGGACACCATGCTGTAGAACAGGATATTGTACTTCAATTATTAGCTGAATTGTCTTTCTTCTATAAAATTCCCAGTAGGGTTGCTACAGTGGAGAATGGCCAAACACTTCACTCTCTGGCTGATATTAGTGGCAACGCCACTGACAGTTGGAAGGGTTGTCTAATGATCACAGTAAAAGACTTGTGGTGCAATATTTTATACAATTCTCACATTAAAAAGAGGTGTGCATAACCTCTGAAACACTGAGAACAAACTCTGTTAAAGCAGAGAACAGGTCATATGCATAATGTAAAGCTCTTTGTACTCCACAAAAATATGTCCATCCTGTGAATAAGAGTATGGAAGAATTTTCTTATTTAACTAGTAGGGACAAACCTATGTAGAGAGAGAGATATGCACAAGTTTATAAGTATATAAGATTATGAATGCAGGTATGCATTCGTAGGAATAGTCAGCTTTGCAGAACCACACACTCTCCTCAACACAATAGAAAGTGAGATCATAATCTGAGTTACCATAAAAGGAAATACTTATTTAAGGGAAAAAGTAATAACTAGTCTGGGTCTGGTTTCATTTTTGAACTGAAGGCCTCAGTAAAGCAAGATGATTTTTCAGATTACTCCATAATATACAGCTCTCTATTAAACTATTTCCCCGTGAAGTCTTGAGCTTTTGTGAGAAACCAAAATATCACTGGTTCTTTACTGTTTTGCAGTAACTTTTTTTTTTCTTCCTTTGAAACTGTCATGAGAAAGATAACTTAGCCTTTTACCCAAAGGGAAATAAATTATAATTTTAAAAGCCCCACAAAAAAGTATAAAAAACACCCAAGACAAAACCCACAACTCAATTCTTGTACAAAAGTATAATTTGTAAAATTAATTAACACAGGTCAACTAATCTGTTTTTGCCATTTTCACAAGATTTTAAATAGGCTTTTAGAAAACAGAATGAACCTCCTTCATATTAGTAATCTTTCTTAAGAGAAGCAATTAATGTATTACTCTCAAGTAAAGGCTGGTTAATTCAGCTGTTAATTCTAAACAACTTAACAGTAGTAAACACCCAAACCTGTAAAGGTACAGACAGTGCTGTGCTCAGTTTTACTTCAGGGAGTAACCCCACCCGAGTTACAGGGATCAGCTGTGTGGGCAAAGTCAACTGCACACAAAACTGGCATATTTAAGTGGTAAATATTAATCTCTGGGAAACAAATCAAGCAGCTTTACTTGCAAGAAAAGTATGCTTTAAATACATTACACACCTAGCATTCATACTGCAATGATGTGTTAGCAGGAATCCAACAAAAGCTATCTCATTAACAAAAGAATGTTTGCAAGTACAATGCAAAATGTGGATGGGAGAATTCCCTCCTTGCCTCATATGCAGAGGATACTGAGCCAGCAGTAATCACACCCTCGTTCCCCACACTCACAAAGCACACACCTCTATATAAAGCTCCCTAATTTTATGCTCTCCAGAAGGATGCCCTCAACATTGTACTATCAGAACATCTTTGATGTAGTTGAAAACTGCTCCTTCTGAAAAAAAATAGGTGCAAGTACTCCTTAATGGATTTAAGTGAAACTAGCTTAAAGTTAGTTTGTTAATACTAGCGTTATTCCCTAAAACTAGCAAGATGTATGGAGGTATGAAGAAAGTAATAGCACATAGAAATTTTACTGGCACTAAATGTCAGTAATTTAATAGCAAATTATGTGTAAGCACAATGAAAACAATGTTCACAAATCAGCCAAAATGATTCTCAGTAGGGGATGTCCTGATAAACAGTTCAGAAAGACTTGAAGCAATCTTGAAAAAAATGAGCAATAAGGAAGACCAATGAAGTAGAAGGAATGTCTAACAGAAGAACAAAATGGGAATTAGCTTAAAGGGCTTGTAGGCATCAGAAGAAATTCACATTTTAGTGGCAACCTAAGCAAATTAGGAATAACACAATGAGTCAGTAAGGCCATCTTCCTACAGACCACAGCTCCAGCACACAGGAGATAGCACAGCCCTTGGAAGAATAAACTGAGTCTAGCAAACTAGGCAAGATAATGGAGTAGCCATCAAGTATTCTTTGTCTTTCATACAATTAAGAACAATTTATTGTTTCTGTTTCACTGCAAATTAATTTATAGGTCAGACAACAATAACTTAATTCTTTGCTATAACAAAATAAGCTTTATAATTGCAGCATGAAGCTTGGTAGGAATTAATGCTAACCTAAGTTAGGCAGAATTCATTATAAATTCAGAAGTAACAGACCCATGTAGAGCAGTGCCATGCACGCAAACTCTCTCAGGGGAACCTGCAACCCTATTTGAAATTTTCAGGAGCTGAGGCACACCCCAGCCAAACCACGAACAGCAGTTTGATGGAAGCCCAGGCCAGTGCTACTTCAGCAAAGTGTAGGTAACACGGGAACAGCTCATCATTCACTATGACCAACCATAAATCATAATACATTGACTGCTTTCATCACTTTTGTGGATACGACTTCTCTGAGGTTACTGTGGCATGAAAGAAGAACATGCAATAGTGACTGACTCTTCACAGGCACGAAGTACTTGCATGCATTTTACTGATATTTTAATTTCCCTGTGTTATTCAGCACCAGGGAAAAACTATGATCCTTCAATTGCATGACATGACAGCAATCACAAAAATTCCTTTGTTAATAAACCTTTTTAATACTAACAGATGCCTCATTGTTCTACCTATTGTGATTATGAAAGTATAACATGTAAAAAGAAAAATAAACTATAAGAGCTGCAATTAGAAAGCTGATGCGACTATCACCTCTTCCTTCCTTAGGATTATTGATCTTAAATGATAATTCTTTAATGTGCACATTGGGGACATATTAAAAGCTTTCAAAGTTTGTACTAATTTCAAGATACTTGAATGGATTGGAAGTTGCTGACATTTATTTACTCAGTAGCAGATATCACAGTGGTGATTGTTGGCTCCCAAAGCCAATTGAATAGTCTTCATTATCAGTTGCTTAATTATAAAAAAGATCAGCTTTTGGATGAAACCTCAGAATACACAAGTGCTTCCAACAAAACACAAGGCAGCAATGCATGCACATTATGCTTATTTCTGTGCTTTCAGTGCTAGGGAAGGACGGAGTAAATTATTCCTTCACATAATTTATTTCTTGGTTATTTTATTTGTTCCCATATTAGCCTTTTCCATAACAGAAGGCTTGTGAAAATACTTATAACTGGTAATATTCCAAGTATAGGTCTTGACAAAGACTACTGCTGTGTTTAGTATTTCATTCTGCTTTTAACTTGACTTGAAGGCAGCTGCCCTTCTTTGCAACTTTGGTATGGAATAGCATTAGTCCCAAATGGTGTTTTGGGATTTGAATACCTTAATTGCCTAATATTCAGATCCCCCTCCTTTCCCTAGATGGCAATGTTTTCATATGAATGAAAATAAAATCAGTACTTTTCTCACTATCTTCTCTAGTGAGAAGAACAGAGATTTAATTTACTTCATGAGAAACATGAAAGACAGCCCACTGCCTTCCTACTTTCACCTAATGTATCATTTCATGCTTAGAATTAAATCTTAAAGTACAGTGAAAAGTAAAACATCGTGCATTCAGTACCTGAAGTTGAATTTTTGCATCTTTGCTGACACTTTTTGTTCTCCATCGTCTCGTGACCCGCTTGTCTTTCTTTGAAATATCTACACAGTTAGCCTACATTGCACAAATAGTTAAAAGCAACAAAGTGCTATTAAGTTGACACAAGCAACACAGACAATACAGCAAGTTAGTAAAGAACTGTAGCATTAGACAGGAACAAATTAGAAAGTAAGGAGAAGAACACTGCTGCTGGGGCCCGAAATTGGAGCAGTGATCAGCTGTAGCTGTCTATACACTTCCATGAACATGTGGTACAGTTAGCTCCTTTAGCAAAACTACTGCTGCCCTCTCTTTTCATGGGAACATAATATTTAGGATATGATCTTGAAATCCTCATGGATTTCTGTTGTGGTACTATTCAGACATTTGTACAGACAAGAAGATTCAGCGAAAATGGAAGAAAGTGTTTGAGATTTAGGATCTGCTGTTGCTGTCTGGTAAAAGGAAAACTCACCCTGAACTGGGAAACAGTCCAAAACTTGGGACCTTTGTACTATGCCCCCTTTTCTAGAGCATGCAACTTCATCTTTGAGGGTCTTTGGGTCTCCAATCCTTAAAAAACTTAAAATGTTATCTTAACACAACAAAAACTCCTTTAATATAACTTCAATTTATACATGAGTTCTATTGCAACAGTCCTCGGTTTTGTTTGGCAAATTACTTAATAATTACTTGTTTACACATGAAAAAGAAACACTATTACACAAGATTAAAACTGACATATAAGATAAGCATTTAATCCAAGATTCACTATTACTTCAGAAAAACATTCTGAGTTAGCAGACAACACCTCTATATTTCCCTTAACAGAAGGAACAAATATTTCAGTGTAATGGTTTATGTTCAATCATATTTACCTGCATGTCTGTGAAATTTGGTGCTGACTGAGTCCTCTGTAGTATTTCTAAATTTTGAAGAAGTTTACTGAGTTCCACAAGGTTAGACTGACAATGAGCAAGATCTAAGAGATATAAAATAAAAGTACAGTAGGTGCTTCAATTTAGACTTTTTATTGCCATGGTGTCCATTGTTTGCACTCAATTGCATTATAGAAATTAAGTGTCCAAACCCCTTGTAGTAAGGCATCCAAGTAAAAATTTTATTTTGTTGGGCACTTGTTATTTCTATAGGAGTCAGCAACAACTCTGGGCCTCAAGAAGTGATCGTATTTGAACAATGACATCCACCAAAACAGCATAATAGATTATTATGATACATTTTAAAAGCAACATCCCAAAACATATAGAGAGCAAAGTTTCCACCACGAGGTGAAAGTTTCCAATTACCCGAAGAGCTGTAACTTAACCGCTTTACTTACGGGACCCTTTCTTATATCAAAAAGAGGTTTTGCTGAAAGAACAAGGCTTGAAAAGATAAAGTCTAACCTTCTGCACATCTGTCCATCTCTTCAGAGTCCTGCAACCAGGCTGCTACTTTACTCTGACCAGTAGTGCAGGTGACAGGAAGGCTGTTACTGCAAGGTATAGGAGGCTGCCAGGGGAAGTTATTTTGTTGCACCTAAAGCATAATAAAATGCTTACATTTACTGCGGCTGTGTTGCCTTGTCAGTGTAATTACTATATTACTTCAGAATAGAAACCAAATTACGCATTGCATTTTCAGTGAAATCTGTGATTTGTCTCCATAGCTCCCAAAGACACAGATTTTTTCAGAATATCATGTTGGAGAATCAAACGAGGAACCGCACAAGTGGATTGTGCTAGGTACCAGTTAGGAAAGCTGTTGTTTAAAGGAAGAACGTAATCAGCAGGGAGACAGATTTATACCTGATGACAAACGCTCGTGCAAATTGTACGGGTGGTGAATACTTTGCAAGATCTCTACAGCAGCCCATTCTAATGAAGTAAGGCTAAATTAGACAGTATTTCAGCTGATTTCAGCTGCACACCCTCACAGCTTTCCTCTGGCCAATGGTTCCCACCATGGAAGCTCCTGTCCTGTTGGCATGAGAAGAAAAGCCCACTGAAACTGCCCACAAGCAAGCCATGAGTTTTCAACCACAGAAAGCTGCACACCTTTCCATCTGACACATTGGCAGCTGGTGAAGACTCTGTAGTAGATGCTGAGGGGAATATGTGGAAGCTGGCATCCCTGGGAGATCTCACAATCTCATTCTGACGGTACAACCGGTGGTGCCGCAACTTTGAAACCCACGCATCAAATGAATCCTGTGATTTCACCTGCAGAAAAACTTACTATCAAGAAAGCATCCAAGATACTACTTTTCTGCACAATCTTTTACAATTTTATTAGCTTCTGCTGAGCATGAAAAAACAGTATGTAGTTTTATTTTTTACCTTTAGGTGATAGATATGTTCTTCTGTGTCAAGATCTATTCTACGAGCCTTTTTTTTTATAGACATGACTGACAAACCAACATCAATGCTCCCATGGACCTTTCCTTTCTGTATCTAAAATAAAAACATCAGGGCAAAAATTTAGAAATATCATGCACTTTTTCTATATATTTAACAGAAAAATATCTAGTACTTAAATGGTTTCCCATTTTATAACATTTTAGTATAAAGCCATATTAAAAAATAAAGCTGCATTCAGACTAACCATTTAACCACTTGTTGTATTTGTAGTCAGAGAAAAGTATCTCACAAGAAATGCTGCTACAAAGCCAACTCCAAAGTTTGGGTGTGTTAAATTGTTCACACCAGTGCACAGGTACAGGTAAGTGAGAAGCAGAGAAAATTACACAGTATTAAATTAGAAAGTACTTGATACCTTACTGCTACAACTTGGTAGTTATTGGTATCAAATATAAATAATTGGTATTAATTCTTTGTCCTATCCACATGTCTCAGAATAACCAGCTCTGGCTGACATAAAAATTAGAAATGAAAAATACATGGTCAGGTTAATCTCTCAAGCAGCTTTATTCAAGAAACTACCTTTAGTAATTTAACTTATATTTCCATAGAATTAAAAAAGGTAGAATTCTTGGAAGACAAAACCAAAATCTTACATTATTTATCTTTAAATCTATCAACAACTTTGATGTGTGTACTTTCATAAATATGCCTAGAGTGAGTATGAGCAGGCTGCACTTCATTAGCAGTTTTAAAGTCTTCAGCTCTACTTACATCAATCGGTGACTTTGAATATTTCAACATTCCATTATCCAGGACAAAAAATCTCTGAAATAATAAGAAAAAAATCCAACAACATTCTTTCTTAATGAGCAGGTGCAATTTAAATTGTGTACAACAATTCATCTGGAGAAGGATCACCCTGTAACAATTAAGGAATGTTTGGGGGTTGAAAGGAGAGGATAAATACAATATTAAATAATTTTCTTGCCTGTTTTTTTGACAACAATTATCTTCTAAATTTAAAAAAAAAAAAAAAACAAACCACAACAAACTAGATTCTCTTTTTTCAACAGTATGTTCCAGGTTTATCTTAACGAACTTTGATAATGAAGGGTATTTTTTTCCAGTTTTCCAGGAAATGTAATAAACTTTTTAAGAAAGAGACTGTAGGACAAGAGAATTACATCTGTTTCTTCATTTTCTACCTGTTTCCTTCCCACAAAAGCTGGTCACATTTCACATTAGCAACCTACCTTCCCTATCCAGAAACTGAGGGAAGTTTTTCTTAGTGCAAGATCTACATCTCAAAAGGAAACCCATATGAGAGACCCTGGTCTACCATGCAAAACTTTGTGCCTTATGGCAGACCTGTACTCAGTGAAGTACAGATGAGATTGTAACTCGTGCTGAGGACACCTTGTCTAGTGTTAATCCAGGTATTAGTACCAGAACAAATATTGCAGTGTTCCCAGCAACATCCTCAGGTCATGGGAGGGCTGATGTCCCAGGTGTTGGTGATACAGGGTGAGCCACTGCACCTTCACTGACATGGTTACCAGGACTGTCCTAACCTGATGATGTCTGCGTTATTGCACCTTTATTGTTCTGAGCAGAATCCCCTATTCAAGCTGTACTTCTCCCTCAATTAAAGCTGCCCTAGCTTGTCTGTAACAGATCACTCAAGCTGCTTTGCAGTCAAGTTAATGCAGACTTTGGCACACAGCATAGAGCCTAGCAGGAAACTGGACTTGAAATGACATTTGCTCATGTTTATCATCACTAACTTTAAAAACATGTAAAGTAATAGCAAATAACTCATATTTTTAGATTGCAACCTGAAGCATTAATCTATTTTAAAATCCCAGAACACAGCTTGATTCTCAAAGCTGTCATGACATGGGAAGGAAGGGCAATGGTTTCCATAGGTAAACCTGCTAATTTAACACTACGAGCAGGGTCAGTAGTTAGCAGAAAATCCCCCTCAAAGATTTGTTCTAGAAATTCTGTCAGTCACACAACAGATGGTACCAATATCTCACACAGGGCGGGAAAACAGTGCTTTTCTCTACAGCAGCTGAAACCAGCACATTTGGAGATATAACTTCTTGAATAAGATGTCAAAACAACAGGAACATCTTGAGGGGTTTTTTTTTCATAGTTACGGTCACTAACAACCTCCACAAGAACATGATATTCATGTCATATTGCTCTGTCTCTCTAAGCTGCATACACAAAAGACAATTACCTTTCATCATCATTTCATTCCAACACACGCTGCACTTCACAGGATAAGTTCACCAAGCTGTGCACATTATAGCTGGTATGCTACCAAAGCACATTCAGGACTGTCAGAATATGGCATGCAATGTTCAATAGATGCTGTATATGGCTTTGCTAGCAGAACCCTAACACAGCACATGCTGCAATTATTGTCTCTGAAGTTCCTCACTGATTCTCAGCACAAATAACTGTTATAGAAACTCCAAGATACCAAGGCCAGCATTGCAAAAGAAAAAAACTTATTAACACTCCCAAAGTTTCAAAACCAGCACAGTTTGCATGGTAAAATGTAAGGCAGAGTAGAGGGGAATGCTAAAATGTGAATTTCTTAATCACATTAAAAATTATCTACACAGTTAACTGCTCTAAATTCATCTAAATCATCAGTAGTGATTACCTTTACAGAACTGTGAAAGTTGGACTTCTCTTGCTCTCCTATAAATTAGTTCCTTACCAAAACAGACATTTGCCAAATAGCAACACATTAATATAATGTATTCTAAAAGTGTGGGAGCAGTGGTTTATTCCATAAATTCTAATATACCACATTAATTGATTTTTTGGAGGGTCAGATCAATTTTATTCACAAATTCCCTCTGGATTTTGAATACAACCTTGAGCAGCAGGGATTGTGATTTGAGATCCATGAACTGTGTCTGAAAATTAATTCCATACACAGGTGGAAGAAAAAGTCATACACCAAAATTGTGGGTATTTATTTGACATCCTAATTTTGTCTAGACAAAAAAAATCCCGGCTTATAAAATAAGGTAATAATGTTCTGACTGGTTTATGAGACATTTACCTTGTGCCAACCTTTTAATGGCCATTTTCTCTTCTTCAGCATGAAACCTTCATGTTTGTCTGGCTTCTGGACATTGGTCTGGCCTATTTTCAGACCTTCTATGATTTCCCAGCTGTCAGGTTCCTGATGAAAAAGCATGAACACACATTGATTAATTAATTTTGCACACAAGCGGCAAAAAATTGCACTTAAGAGTGGCAAAAAATTCTTCAATGCAAGACAAAGAGAAGGAGCCAGGCTTTTAAATCAACCTGTTTAGGTACCAAACTACATGGTCACTATATTATGTCTAGCTGTACCTCATTTAAACCCACTAAATACAAACCATTTTCAGATATCTAACCCTTACCAGGTAAGATGAATAGTAAGACTGCACTTTGTTATATTTCTTAATTATAAAGAAATTTAAATTTTCTGATCTTTAAAGTACAAGCTACATTGGTTCTGGATGCCCCAGTTTTTCCTCCAAATCAGAAAAACTAGCAGATGATGTTGCTTTATTGTTGATTTTGAGTGCAGCTAGTGATAATCTTCAAAGGCAATTTATGACAGTTTCACTTGCTAATTGAGCCTTCAGAAATCTGCAAAAAGATTTTTTTCCTGCATTCTCTTTCACTGTATTATGAGAAATTTATAGGAAAGCTAACTAATTTTCTCTCTAGAGAAAAACAGATTTAATTTGAGATACAACCAGTTGTATGCCTTTCATGGAGCCAATTAAAGCATATTTCTGGTACATACCACTTGTTTTGCATGGTGACTGGTGCAGCTCAAGACACATTTACAATGTAACACAGTGAACAGGTAAAGAACAATATTTTGAAAGAGAAAAAGACAGAGTCATATTTTCTCTTAGAGTGTATTTCTACCCTCTTGCTACCACTGTAATTAAAAAAGTTCTGCACCAGTTTAAAAATCTCTTACTGCCAGATTCCTCAGACTGTGTTTTATTAATTATACCTTACAAAGCTGTAAACTTGCATTTTCTCAGCTGATCTGTCATAACTCCTAGCAATGTTATGAAAAGTTAACAAGAGAGGAAGGAAGTCATATAGCATCAAACATTTAAAGAGAAAAAAATTGTCTCCACATTTCCAACAAAACTGTTCAGAGCCAAGTGCTATCAGTCTTTCACAACACCTCCAAATAAATTACACAGCCCTCACAACATCAACATTACTGCTTTCATTATTATGAAAATATAGTTGCAAAAGTAACAGCAAATTTCAAAACTACAATTTTGAATGAGGTCTTGGTATTTTGAGAAGGGTGAAAAGCTCTATCCCAAATAATAAATACTGCCGTAAATTTTAATAGAAATCTTTGTTCAGCTTAGTTTCCCCTGAATAACCATGAACTAATTATCTCATTGTCTGTAAATCCCCTACTCAAAATGCAGCTTTGTTTTACTTCCCCATGTTTTGCTTCAGTGTTCTATTTCCATTCTATAGAGGAAAGCACATATGTATTATTTTTTCCCTACATGGAAGTACTTGGCACTCGAGGGGGACAAATTAAACTCTAAGTTATACACTAGCAGAGTCTCTGCATCTCTGCCAACTGATTCTTCACCATATTGATTTCTCCTTTAGATGATCAGCTGCAGGCATAAGTCTTTTATCTACTAGATAACATCAGTATTGATTAATTCTCAACTAGAAACCACACAATCTCATATAGCTATTCATTTAAACAAAAGACCAGATACAGAGGAACAAAATGAGCAATTATTCAGTGCAGTGAGGATACTTATCTCCTGCTGCATCAGTGCTACAAGCTGTTCTTAAAACCCTCCTAATAATCCTAACCGTGCCTCATCCCACAGTTTTGGTGTGTTGAGATATGCCCAATACAAAGGCCATTATGAAGGAGAGACAAAAATGGGGAAAAAACAGAGTGAAAGTGATACACTTGAAGAGTCCTCACCCAAGTTCCCAAGCACAGCAGCAGTATTTTAGGACTTTGGTGATTCCATAAGTATTCCATGAGAAACAGCCCTGTGCAAAGCAGCATGACTGGGAGAACACAATCACAGCTTTCAGTGCCTGGCTTTGTGCATGCCCCTTGTTTGGGAATTAAGAGAGTCACTACCAACTGCTTTCTCAAGTTTTGACTGCAAAATATTTATTTTCCAATAAAAATGAATAAACAATTTCATTTTCCCTGGATGAACAGAATACTTCTTTTTGAAATTGTTTTACCAGGTCTGTTTCAAAACACACAGATATTTAGTTTAGATTTTTATTTTCCACCAAATATTCCATCACAGCACCCTCACCTTTTCAGAAACAATCTGAAGCACCTTAAAATGAGGCTTTCTTTACATGGAATTAGACTTGTTTGGAATCACTTATTCCAAAACTGAGCAATTTACCCAAAAAGAACTTGACTTCAAAACAACACACTAAAGGCTTCACTTTTTATGAGGGTGATGTCACGCCTGCAGTTGCATCTTTTACTCTGCCTCAGGAAAGAAAATCTCAGCAAGAGCTTTTAAATTTCAAACTACACACAAGGGCTGTTATTAGGACATAATTTTTAAACTAATATTTATTGGCAGCAATTTTAGATTTGGATATGATTTCCTCTACCTTAGTAAGAGGATTGAACTGGAAAACTTCTCAAAGACATAAAGTCAAATAATATCCTGAGTTGGAGGGGACCCACAAGGATCACCAAAGTCCCTTCTAGCCCCATTTTCTGAGAAAGTAAAATTTGTTCCTGGGGCCATCCACATGAAAAAAAACCAAACAAAAAACAAACAAACGAACAAAAAACCCAAAAACCAAACCAATCCTTAATTTTGTTAATGTTACACCTACTAAAAGATTACTGGCTCTTCTTACACCTCAGTAATAGAACAATAAACTCGAGGGCAGACTCACAATATACTCAATGGTAGAATCATACAAAACACTGAACACAAAACACCTCAAGTGTAAGTCAAACTACTTTGTAACTCTAGAGGGAAACTCACTGCCCAGACTCCATCCCAGGCTTTTGCTTACCTTGGATAGAGAGAGATGGTCACTTTCAAGGAACTGCTTGCTTAAAGAAGGGTCTGTGCTTCCTGAAGAAGCCTTTCGCTCCAAAATATGAACACTCTAAAAAGATAATTAAAGACAACATCATGGCTCAAAACATCCAAAACACCATCCACGACTTACATGCACAAATGGTTTGCCTGCAGAGGCAGTATAACTCTCTTTCTTTATTACTGAGTTTTTAATTAGTTACTCTGTTTAACCTAGAAATGATGGTGAACTAAAAAAAGCTAGGAAAGATGAGTAATGCAGTTCTTACCTCTACAGAGATTCAAAGTGCTCCTAACCAGACCTATCATGTTTTCTGTTAATATACAAGACACTGAGTGCACATACTCTGCAGTCAGCACTGCCCTACATTCACTTCACATAACATATTACTGCCTTTAAAATATTCATTATCACACCTTAGCATTTTGTTATTGGCTTCTCAGCTGAGAGAAAGTAACACACTACACAAATGCTTTTATATGGATTACAGGTATTAACAAGATCAGTGACTGTGTCTCAGCTGATGGCCTTGCTGGTGAACATTCATGGAACACACTGATCTTAAACCATTGCAGCTGTTTTTACATATGACAATCCTAGAAAATTTTCTATCTTCAAAGCATTGTAATAAAAATGAAATACACACTGTCACAACTGTCCTGATAAGACTGCTATTCTTAAAATACATCTAAACACGTCTTTCCATTTTCAAGAAAAAGGAAACATAGCTTTCCATTTTCCAAAACCACCTACTTTATAAGAGAAAAAGCATTTGTGATAAAAGAGAAAATTACCACAATCCACAGGCATGGATCTGAATTTCATTCTCTGATGAAATTTTGCTACATCTCACCCTACTATGCAGTAAGAATTCTACCACAACATGTCATTAGTATCTCTTTGGCATAAAATAAAACTACTTCGTTTCCAGGACATACAGCACAATGACAAACTTGCAATTGCAATTACCCTCTGAAAAGCATATGTTTTTCTCAGCTGAAAATGCCAATTAAGTTTTGTTCACAATTAAGCTTCTTTACATTGACTGAAGAAGAGATTACCCAGGTACCAGCAGCAGCAGAAACAATCAGGAAATATAAAAGTACATACAAATGGCAGTGTAAATATTATTGTTTACATAAATTATTAAGTACATAAAGGAGCATAACCAAACAGCTATTCATTTAAATGCATGTATATAACACAGACTCAATCTTGCTGCAGAGCAACACACAGACCTTCATTGTTCTCTTTCAAGTTGCAAATGTGAATAAGAATAGGAAAACATGGGGAGTGTCTCTGTTTTCACTGGAGATTAATAAGCATCCCTACCACCATGCTACAATAATCAGCATTTATTTTCAGTTATTTTAATTAAATTTTACAGTGAAGAATGTAAAAAAAAAGCAGCAGTATTATGTTACTGCAGGGCCAACCAGCAAAAAGCTTTGTCCTTTATGCTTTAAAAACTTTTGTTTTATCAAAGGAAGTCCAACCTACTTATTTAGTCCAGTGTATTTTACCAGTCAGATGACCAAAAAAAATGTGCATATATGTAGCACAAGTGTCTATGTTACATATAAAATAATTTCATAAATTCATTTGAGCTGAGAATCACTAAGTTCCTAATGATAATGATAAACTTTCTTACCAAATAAAGGAAATGCTACTTATGTACACAGTATGATATTTTAACAATATACAAAAGAACCTAAATCTGTTCCTTCAAGGAAGATTAAAATGTCTCTTGATTAGCATAATCAGGATGATTCCCAACATTCTTGCCAGTTTTGTCTGGCAGGCAGGAGTCCCTCCATCCTGAGATGGAGCAGTGCCCAACACAGATGTTCTGAAGGTCTCATGTTCTCTCAGCTGGTGCAGTTTGTTGTTACATAACTGCAATTTCGTTTTGTACAATATTTAGAGAGGAGTAGCCCAACAGCCCTTAGCTTGCCAGATTTCCAGTGACATTTTAAATTACATTATTTTAAGTCAGGAAGGTTTTGTGCCTTTTTTTTAATTAGCCTTCAGTCATTACAGTTCCACTTCAGTTGAGAAATACATTATTAGCCAGCAGCATTAATGAATGCTGACTTATTCAACTACTATTTGTTTGAAAATTAGAAAATGAACACCTTTTAAGTAAAATTGCCTTCTTTACATTCTTTAATTCCAGGAGTGTTGGTTTGTTGTCTATAGATGTTTGCTTTTCAATTCTCTTTACTCATGACCACAATTACACTGATACAAGATCATTTCTTTAGATTTGTGACATGTCTCTAGCTTAATTCTAAGACACCTTACTTGGTGCAAAGTGTTTTCCATTAACACATATTATTTTTCTGCAAAATTACAGCTAGAAATCACACAATTGCTTGACATTTTGAAAAGCAGCTAATTTTACAGTGTAAGAGTTTAGTTATTTAGAATCAAAGAAACAAAAATTATTTAAATCTTGACATTATTGTCAAGGGTTTTTTGTATTTTAACATGAAAAACAGAGTTGGGAAAGAAGCAGTAAAAAAAAAAAGCTGATGAGAAGGAATAAAGTGGTAGGTGAACACTGTTTCTGGGATTTATTTATAATCAAACCAAGAAATTAATAATAATCCATTAAACTAGGCACATCAATCAACATGGTACTCTTATTCCTCTCCTAAAAGTACAGACAGGCAAAATCAATGTCAGCATTGCTACATTCCAGATTCCCCTTATATTTCAGGATTACCACACTACAACTGGTTTCTCTTGGAGGAAAACACCAGCACTAGCATACTCTCTGTGCTCTTGAAAACTAATTCAACATAATTACAAGTTTAACGCAAATTACTATGTAATTACATTGCAAAATCTTCATCCTAACTACAATCCTTCATCTTCATGATTATCCACACATACATCATATAGGTGGCACACATTTGCCTCAAAATACCCCTAGCAAGCCAACATATGGGGAACACAAATGCTTGTTCCACCCTGCATTTTTTTTCTTTTTTCCCCAAAGGAGGGAGAAGGAAATTGATGGAGAAAATAAAATAGCATTATGATGTTGCATCATATTCTCATCTTCTCTGGAAGACAAGAATGGAAAACATATTTTACAATACCCTTCCATGTATCTTGCCAGTTTCTTTTCTCACTTTGGACTTTAATGACTCATACAGCTCATTATCCTGGTTTTGGCTGGGACAGAGTTCATTTTCTTCCAAGTAGCTGGTATAGTGCTGCATTTTGGATTCAGTATGAGAACAGCGTTGAAGGCACAGTGATGTTTTGGCTATTGATGAGCAGCTCTTGCCCTAAATCAAGGACTTACCAGTACCCCATACTCTGCCAATGAGGAGGAGCTGGCAGGGGCATGGCCAGGACAGGTGACCTGGAGTGGTCCAAGGGACATTCCATAGCACAGAATGCCAAGGACAGTGTAAAACTGGGGCAGTTGGGTGTGAGAGGGCAATCACTGCTGGGGGAAGGGCTGGGCCTGGGCCAGCAGGTGATGAGCCATTGTACTGGGCATCACATGCCTTTCTTGGGGTTTATTTCTTTCTCTCTTTCTTGTTCTTTCTTTCCCTTACAATCATTATTTCATTGTTCTTATTTCAACTCTCAGGTTTTCCCTTTTCTTTCTTCTGGTTCTCCTCCCCATTCCACCAGTAGGGTTGGTCTCCATCAGACCAGAGGATGAAGGCCCTAATTTAACTTTACTGGATCTGACTTCCCTTTAAAACAAAAGACAATCAACTGTTTTAACAGGAAAGGGAAGGGAAAAGGAAAAGGAAAAGGATCATTGTTCTTATTTCAACTCTCAGGTTTTCCCTTTTCTTCTGGTTCTCCTCCCTGTTCCACCAGTAGGGTTGGTCTCCACACCCATAACCATGGGGCCTAGGTACACACTGTCCCACAACAGCTATTCGAAATAGAGCTTTTCTGTCTGGGTTTGATTTTGGATATGTAGAGACAGAAAATCCAGCAAATGACAAGTCAGACACTCATGCCTCTCCCTTCTGCTTCACTGCTTATTTACTTAATGGAATGAATTATATTTAATGCAAAGACATCTCCATAATTTATTAACTTCCAAGAAAAATACAAACTTGTGAGGATGTCATCACTCACATTGGACACAGACTCCATAATTCAGAAATCTGCACAACATGTGGTTAACAGTTAATTCATGAAAAAGATCTGGTGGATCATTTTGCTTGTTCACAACATTCTAGCAGTCTCCAACACCCATAACCAGTAGGTATACACTGTCCCACAACAGCCATTCGAAATAGAGCTTTTCTGTCTGGGTTTTTTGTCCCGTTTTTTTCAAATCAAAGTACTAACTGGTGCATCTTTTCTTATTTGCTAATCACTGGAATTGTTTTTGCAACCTAACAAAACTGTACTCTTACTTGAATTCCATTTAGTATGAAGTGCAATGCTTAATCACTTTCAATTAGAACCACACTATTTTCTGGTCATCTGAAACACAGCAGAAGTAGTAAGGTAGACACAGATTTGACTGCATACATGCCAATTTTAACTACCTTCTAAACAAGCTGTGATACATGCTGAGTTAATCTGCAGTATTATTTGCAAAGGGAATAACTTTGAAATTTGCTTTTCTCTTAGGCTGCTTCTTAGCCAGCTCTGGCTTTCCTCCTGTTAATGCTGGAAGAAAGACAGATTCTTCAATATAACTGTGAGAGAAGAGTGAGTGCAAAGCAAAACAACCATATCTCATCAATATATATCTCCTTTCTATCTTCTAGTGCAGTTTTTAAATTTTTGTAAAGCAGTCATGGTCCTATTCTTATCCTCAGTCTCTTCTATTGGCACTGTTCCATAGCTGTTTTCAGCAATCTCAACATCAACTAACTGACAAAGGAGCTTAGCAATACTTTGTGAATAGCACACACAGTTAACTTTTTTTTTCTTCTTGTAAGACATGTTCATCTTGTACAGAAATGTACTTAAGAGCAACATTTTCTCTTTGTAACCTTTTTACTGAAAGACAAGTATATATAAGATGCAGCTCTGTAGCGTATGAATAATATCCAGGTATGTATGCATACTTCTTT